TCATTTCCCAATGGTAATACACAATGACACAGAGGAAAAGCCATGTAATGTGCTGAAACAATATCTTGAATTGTTGCTAAGATTTAAGGGAAATAAAGTAGTGCCAAACTGTTAGCACTCCTAAGGAAGCAGACTGATGGATGGATGGTCTGTGCAAACTAACCCCGAGTGGAAACAAGATCCATTCTCCTGTGGCTGTACAGAGACATTTCCATTTGGAAACCAACTCATTTCAGGCCCTATGGACTTGGTTTTCTGAGAAGTTTTAGACCTGGGTATTCCCACATGCTCATCTTCAACATGTTCACTACTGTGCACATCAAAATTCTGTTTCCACGTTTGGGTGTTCATCTAAAACTGCCAATTGCCATGAACATTTCAATGTGAGCATAATATCAAAGGCCAGTTTATTACAAAAATACAAGATTGTGATACTTGTGGAGAATTTCAGATGAGTGCTGAAATAAGTAACACTGCATTCAACTTCTCTCCTGCTCTGTTTTACTCAAGACACAAACTTTTCAAAGAGGGATATATGAAAAGCTTTGGGCAGTTCAAGTTCAGCATTTGCTTTTCAAACCTATGTATAAAATCAAAAATCATGCTGCTGATGTTAAGATCTCAGCAGGTTGAAAAACTTAACAAAAGGAAAGGTACAATCCTTTGAAATGGTGAAATGTAGGCTCACTTAACTTAGTACACAGCTCCAGTAAAGTCCTTGCTCACACTGCAGAGGGTTCAAAGGTTTGTAGGTTCATGGGGAGAGCTGCCAAGCAATCTGAAGTTGTATTGCAATGACCACTGCCATTATCACATGGATGATCTTAATTCCTTCTCCTTAGAACTGATGCTGTTATGAAAAAACATTCCCCCTTTGAAATGGCAGTGGTACATCATCCACTCCTTCTTGCACAACTTTTTTGATGCCTTCATAGAAACCAAACATTTACTGCTGTGTGCTCAGAGGCCACACTTATTTTCACTGCAAAAAACACGCTCTCTGCCATTAAAACAGTCCCCTCTGCAGGATGGTCTTACAGCCCTTTTAGGGGCTGCTTTTCCTTTAGGTCCTCTCCTCCTTGTCACTGGCAGCTAAATAAAGTACATGAATTTTCATGTCCTCAATAAAGTAAAACCTCAACCTCTTATCTACCTCTTTGTAGCAATGAAAGCTGAGCACCTTCCTGAACTCTTGTGTCATACATGCATTTATTATGTGTACAGACTTTAAAGCACATCAATCTGTATAGGTAAATTAACACCCCACACAAGCACAGAGCTTTCCCTATAAAACTTCAACGTTAATCATCCTTTGATAAATCAATCATATCACATAAGAAAGGCCCACATTTTGTCTAGAAAGGAGCTTTTTACTTTTTTATTTGAGTCCTAATTGGCCATTAAGAGAAAGATACATTCTGCTTTGTCAAACTTAGATTTATGTAACATGCTCCCATTTTAAATTTCTCTAAAGATATCTGCACTCAAAGTCACAGAACATTTAACTAACAGTTTCATTTCAGCCCAAGATCTAAAGGAACTAACATATTTATTAAAGCATTTTGATCCTTCAGAGACAGATTAATAAGAAGCTTGTGACAGTTCAGCATGATAAAATGAGCCAATAAACAGCAATGTGTGCTGACGTTAGATATACTGATCCACAAATAATATAATACATATTTGGTTTGTCACAAAGAAAAATCTCTTGAAAAAGCCATTGCCATGATTAAATACTTTCTGCTATCTCAAAATTTCTATATTCTATACAAGTTTTCCTTACAAATTCCCTCAACAAATAAACCAAGCAAGTCTTTTTCCTACATAAGGAAATCACAGCTTTGTATGATATCAATATGGAATAATGAGTCAAAATGCAGCATGAAAAGGGTTTCAATATTGTATGGGTTTTTGGGGTAAAAATAGAGCACTAGATGCCAGAAGTGTTCAATGTTCATTCACTATAAAACAGATGTTCAGGCTTGCCCGGCTAGCTGCCATTCACCTACCTATGAATTATTATTTGTATTATGCATTTGTTTTCTGGTAACATCTCAGAAATTCAAAGTTTTTAATGTGGTTGTCAGTAACAATAGGGACTCAAGGTTTAGATCTGGGATAGTCTTTTCTGTGCAACAGCTTTCTTTATTAGAGCTCATCCTTTGTCACTACTCCTGCTCATCCATTGCTGCACATCAAGTGAGGGTGAAGCTTGAGAAATACACACACTCACATGCTTCAGACACATTTCTTCCACTAAACATTGAATAATGGAGTCAATTGTTTTCTCATTTTCGCTGTTTATACATCACTGCTGCCAAATGACTTTCCTGATGTCCATTGTGATTTATGACGTGAAAGAATACTAAAACTAATTTATACTAATAAATGCAAACAGCGCCATTAACATCAATACATATCCTAATTTACACCACCAAAGAATCCATACTGGTATACTTAGAGCAATTTCAGAGTATTGCCTAATGAAGATAAAAGGTCATTGTACAAACCAGCAGTGATGGAAAGTTTACAGCAGTCATCCCAAGGTTCCAAATGCTGTGCATAAAACTTAATGTAGTGTACTGCATTATCCACTAATGCTTAAAATAATGGCTCCTGAGATTCTGTTTATAATGATCCTGATCTAAATGTGAAAATAACTTCATGCAGTTTTTTCTCCAGTCATTACTTCCTAATCTGCTTTCTCTCTCTTCATCCAACCTGTCAGATTGATGGGGGATCAGACATAGGAGGAACTGGAATGGACCCTACAAGTTACTCCTTGCTTCTCACAGCAAAATCCATGCTTGCTTAATCTGGCATGAATATGGCAATAACAGTTTATTCTGTTACATTGAAATACTCACCACATAATGAAATATTACACAGCACACAGGAAGAAACAACAGCAGATTAAATTGTAAGCAAAGAAATAAAACAAACCCTCAAAATAATTCCAATTTTGTTTTTGAGTAATTAATGTTTTTGACTTCAGCCCAAAACAAGTGTTAAATTCATAGTCTAGGACTTCAAATTCACTGTTGGAGCTTCTTGTTTTTTGTTTGCTATCCAAGTATTCAGGAGAACACAAACAATCTAGGAGGTGCTGAGCTGATGCTGGCACACAAATCAAATTACCTTTCTTAAACTACAGCTGTATCACCAGGACCAGCCTTTTCTGAGGGGAAATATTTGGATGTATTTCTTTCTTTTCTTCCAATAGCATAAGATCTAGACATTTTAAAACTGTGTGATAGTGTCTTAGGAGACAACTTAAAAAGTCACTGAATTGGTACCCTAACACAGTGCATTAAAAAAACACAACAGAACCATTAATATATTGATATTTTACTAAACGTATTTCTCTACTTCAGAAATTCTCTTATCTGTAATCTCTTATCAGTACACAATACTTCTTAATACATGCTTCCAATACACCAGTTAACCAGAGCCTGGGTCTCCATATGCACATGTAGGAAAGAGACAGACAAAAGGCTCTGATCCAAAGTCAACTGCAGATAATGCAAAAAGCCCTGCTAGTGCCATTGGCAATTTCCCAGCACTGTCCTGGCAATCAAAAGCAGATGGGTGCTGGAAAATCAGCCCTGATGCCCAACACCTAACCCAGGGTCACATAATGAGTCTGGATCAGACCTGAGACTGGAACTCAAATCTACTGAATTTCTGTCCAGGGGTTTAATCACAAAACCACTACTCTTAATATAAAATCAAAAGATTTTGAAAAAAATATATTAGTAAGATACAAATTTTTCACTTCAGGGATCTATATCATCATTCAGTTAACCATTTTTTTAAAGATCTCAGACCAAAATAAGTAATCAAAGTTCTTTGCTATGGTGTTAATTAAGGATTTGTAGTCATACCTCTGAGCAATCCACTAACCTCTAAATGATGTTCTAACTGAAGCCTGAACAGGAGCAAAACTAAAGTACAATTAAGGTTTGCAGATCTGCCTATATTATAGCTTTTTAGCTGTAACCTTTCTACCCTGTTCTGTAATTAGTGAACCAGATCGTACGTTCTCCAGACACAGACATTTATGAAGAGTTCAAAGCTTTTTTTACAAACTCTGGAGCAAGAACTCCAGGAAAGTAGAGTAATTCTGAACCAGTGAAGCAGCACTACCACATACAGCAGCTGCCTACCTGGCTGCCCTTTGCAGAAATTGAGATTACTTTTTTTTCCCTCACACACCTCTTGCTTATCAGACCACATCTTTCAAGTCAATGAAATGCAAGGTTTTCTACCTTTCAGGTTTCTCACGCAGCCCATTTCTCCTAGGTTTGTTTTCACTCCTGTTCTACAGTCAGCAGAATAAACCAGATCTGCATCTCTTTTGAGCATAGCTACAGATAAAAGCAGGTCCCTCACACCTCAGCTCCTTCAACAGAAAAGTCCAGCAAGGACCCACAAGTCAGAATAACCTGAAAGCCACACATGGGGCTGAATGTGCAATCACCATTTACTGCATCTCTCTGGCAGCATACAAAAACAGGACTTATAAAATGCACACTCCTTCGTTTCTCTGGAGCTTATAGCCAGGGATTTACAAACCCATTTCCACAGGAGGGAGGCTGAGCAGAGCCCAGATAGCTGCTCTACCTGCCCACCTGTCCCCCCAGCAGTGTGTGAGCTGCCAAGAGCCCCATGGCAGCTCAGTCTCAGCAGGAGCTGCCGTGTTCCAGCCAGGAGCAGAGACTCACCCTCAGCTGGGCCCGAGGACAGAACCATGGGCTGCAGGACCACCATTGCCACTCAGAGGTACACGAGAACATCCAGGCTGCACAAAGCTGTGGTTAGGCTACCACCAACCAGGAGAAATTCCTGTGAGGCAAAGGAAGCAGCCCCACCACCTTTCTCTGTTTTATACCCCCTCACAGCCCGAGAGGTAATTAGAGAATCACCAACACCTGTGCTGGACAAAACACCCTTCCCTCAAATTGGAGCCAGCTGGTGCTGGGCCTCCCTGGAGCTGCAGCTGAGGGACCATGGCCACTGCTCCTTCAGGGCTGGCCAGCTCCCCATCCCAACAGTGAAGGCTACCAGCAAGCCCTGCTCTGTCCCTTGAGCCATTTGGGATTTAATTTCCCACCCTTTTATGACTTGTCTGTGCTACTGTAAATCCTGGAAGGTGAAGCTACGCTAGTTCCTGCACAGAGAGCCAGAGGTAAGTCTGAGAGGGTTCCCCCTCAGGGGCTGCTGGCCAGCTCTAATTCCAGCCAGTGTTCTGTTTATTTGGTATGCAAAAAATTCAGGTGATATTCCAGATTTTACTGTGTGAAAGTATGTGTGCGTGTTTTTCAGTAAAGGAAGCCCTGTTAAGCTCTCAGTGGCAGAGCAGATTATTTTCCTATGATAGGAAATGTGTGAGAAATCTTTGTCTGGAATGTTCTTTCTTGTGGGGTGTTGGCTGGCCTGAGGAATGGGGGTATATCTAATGGCCCCAAGGGCAAAATGAAAATTCAAGGGTGGTTTTGGTGTGGGACACTGTGTGGGAATGGCATTGCCAGGCTGCTGAATGAGTGTGAGCAAGTGGGTCATGTCTTTCAGGCAAAACCCACCCTGTTTTGTCGCCCTTTATATATCACTCTTATGAGAAAATGGTACAAGGAGGTGATTTTACTGGCCATTTCATATTGATCCTCTGCTATTCTGACAGTGCTCCTTGGGAATGTTTGGCCTGTTATACACTGCTCCATTTTTATGATGTTTGAATGAAATACCTGTTTGTGATCAGAATATGGCACTTACCTATAATTACTTCATAAATCCTAGTAATTAAAAAAAAACTCCAATAAGCAATTCTGAAAATGCATTAAAAACATACTCTCTGTTTTCCTGTTTTGTTCAGAATAAACCTTTTCTTTGCCTTTCACACAGAGCTTTTAGAGTACACTTGAGTCATACTTTCATACAGTTCTCCAGAACCTGAGAGCTAGCAATATAAGGATTTTTAAATTGAAGTTGGGATTCTCAAATAATCTTAAGAGCCTGAGAACTGGGACTGTAGGAGAAATAAACATCACCAATCTAAATATCATGAGTCTGGTAACACTGAACAGGGATAAACTAGAGATTTATAGGCGGATGGAATAAAGGAGGAAAGCATAAGATGAAAATAAAGATGCAGCTTTCTAGGCAATTTAAATTTTCTGTTTAACATATTGATTAGGAAAAGAGTGGAAGATTGCTGATGAGAATGTAAAGGGAGAACTAAGGCAAGTGTTATATTTGGGGAAATTTGTGCTTATCTGTTGCAAGTGAAATAGCTTGTTACCAGTGTGGGTGAGGAGTGGGGCACGGTTATAATCAAAAGATAGCTCTGACCGTGCTTATTTGCTACTGTAGTTTGACCACCTAAAATGGCTTTTGTCACTGTGTTGGATATCCTCTTGTATTTCTGAGAAAAAGAGTTCCTTAACTCACCCTTCCTTTGCAGTCTCTAATTGTAAAGCACAATCGAAGTCAGATTGAAGCGTGTTGTGTTTACCATGTGCCTTGAGTGTTAAAAAGGAATGAAAATTCTGCCCTGATCTAGTACAAATACATATGCTGTTACTTTCTTTGGGTTTGCTTCCTTGGGGTTCTGTAAACAAAGATAGATTTGTTGACTGGGTGGGTTTATACCAGCTGTTCTTTCAAACCTATCAATGTGCCACTTGGATTTGTGGTAGCGACTGGAAAAGCAGGAACACCCTTTTCCCAAGCACAGGACAAACAGTGCTCCAGCAGGCTCCTGAATTCGGTGTGGCCTCTACAACCACAATTTTATCATCAATCAGACCTCGTGAAATAAGATCTGGATAAATGATAAAACTTTTCAAATGTTCATGCACTTATCATTGTGTGAGACTTGGGTTTTACAAACCTGGTTCTTGATAATAGTTTTTTCTTGGGAAACCACCACATAGCCAGGCCAGTTGTTTTAGCCTAACTTAACTGTTTTTATATGACTGAAAGTACTGCTTTACATAGCACTTAGCCAGAGAAACTGTATTGACCTTTAGATAGAAACTCTTCAGTTTTGTCTATCCATGGATTACCACATATGGTGAAAAATGTGGAGTCCAGGATGTCCTGAGGCAAAGATTCCTGTCAAAATTGGGGGCAGTAGATGAGAACTCCCTGAGCAGCCTGGAGACAGGTCCACCAAAACTCTGTTTGCAGGTTTGTTATTGGTTTGCTGTAATTGCCCAGACAAATCATCTGCTTGTCGCTTTACCTGACTATAAAATTGGAACAGTAAGGGTATCAAGATATTTCATGTGTGAATTTTACTTATTTAATACTTTGAAAGTGCCCTAAAAGCCCTTAGTATTTCTATTGAAAGTATTTTGGAAGCTGAATTACTTTCTTTGTGCTAATTATATAACTTTATAGGAATGATGTATGAGACAAGCACTGAGGCATAGTATGATTTAACTTTTGTTTTGCACAGCTTTTGCTATTAATTTGATTATTTTCCGTAACTCAACAATGTAGTTCACTCTATGTTAAAATAAGACTAAATTTGCTTGGTAGGGGAATAAAAAGGAAATGGTACTTCAGACAGTGGCCCTGGGGTTATGTTAATTTCACTGGTTTATTTGATGCCATTTTTCTGGTAAAATGTTGTGAAGAAGAAAATTTTTAGTCTTTTGTCCAGGGAACTTAATTTTCCATAATTTTTACACCTTTAGAGTGATTTCTAAGAAAAGAGGACTACACCACATAAAATGTTTGAGACTTAGGGACATAGTCATAAACATAGTCATAATACGGTTTGGTTGTATAGACTTGCATCTGATAAATATAAATAACCCCCCTTTCAAATTAACATGAGCCAAAAGTCAACTTAGTGATCTGATGAGGTACTGACAAATTCACATCCTAACCTAAATGACATTTGTCACACTGAAGTAGAAACAATTATTAATAATTTTCATTTCATTAGGAGCACTACAATGAAATGTCAACAACTTCAAAAGTGTAGCAGAAGTGTACAAATTAATTTTGATTTTCTGAAGTGTAATTATTTTTGTAAGTACCGCACTGTGTAATCACTTTTGGCGCTATTACTTGTGCAATCAATAACACTTAAATGTACTTAGCTGTTTTCAAACATGGTTTCCTAAGGTCACCCTTTACTGGTGTGGAAGAATGTAAAGAGTTGTTTTCTAACTGGTCAAAGATGTAGTGGAATTTTTTAAATACATAATTATTCGTGTATATTTTTATGTTGATTGCCATAAAGGGGTGCTCGATGTCTGTGCAGTTTGGATGAGAAAAAAAGCCTGTCCTGACTTTGCTGGTGAGTCCATTTTTGTGCTCTGGGTGGCAGCATCAGCTCTTGCTCCTGTGCCTTCACCACCCAGGGCTCATCCTACTTGGCAAATGCAACCTGACTGCAGAGTTAATTATATTCCCCTGAGCCAGGCAGTCAGGCCAGACTTGGCCACACATTAGCTAGATGAATGGCTGGTAATCATCTAGAGGAGCACATCGTTCCCACAAGCTTAGTCAGTCCTCAAGTGCCAGCATTTGTAATAATTCACAACCCTGCAAAAAAGACCACAAGAATGCACATCTTGGAGGAAAGTTACTTTCCTACAAGGTGGCTTAACTGTTCTGTGATTTTAGCTGACATTCTGATAGGTTTCCTCCACGAGCATTTTGCTCGTGTATTTGTTCATTATTTTATGGAGATCTCCAAGATCCTCTGGGAGCCTTTCCCATGCCCTTTGCATCAGGGTAGGAGTAGAGATTGTTGTTGCCAGTTCAGTGTTCAGGTTGGTTTCTGCACTTAACAGCAGCTCCTTAAAGGATGCAGTTTATAATGTAGTTTGAATGGATCCTGGAGTCTCTTCCTGTAACTCAGCTTCCAACCCTATTTTAACGTCATTTGTAAAACTGTATCAATGGTTTATCCACACTGGAAGATAAAGCTGGTGTACCCAGAACAATGAATGGAGGCTGTACTTCAGCTATTAAAATTACAGATCCCTGCCATTAGAAATGAAAACCCAATAAAAATAGATTGAAGCTTCCTGTCAGATTAGTAAATTATCCATTAGTATACAGAAGTAAAAACAGGAAAAGGCACTTTTTGCCATGAGGAAAAGAAAGTCAAAAAATGTACAAAAAAAGAAGTATCATAGTCAGCAGTAATGTCTCTTGACATCTACTGCTAATTGTCATTAAAAATAGTGGTTCAGCCATTTATAGCAGCATAACAGTTTGAGAACACAACAGATAAGGCATTCCAGGCACTAACTTATTTAGAGGCTGAATATCGATTCTGAATCCAAAATGATGTTAATGTTAAAAAATACACACTATTTTAACATTTCTAGCTTTCTTTCAGCAGTTATCTGGATTTGAAATCTGTGTGGAAGAATAACTCCAGTAAATTGTGGGCAAGCTTGTTCTGCTATTTAGGAGCACGTGTATTATACAAGGAAAATCAGTTAGAGATGGAGGAACTGTGTGTATGAATGTAACTACTTAGTAATTGTACCTGAAAATTTGTTTTAGAATAATTCACTTCATCTAAACATGTGTACTATACCTCTCTGTCTTGAATTTCAGTATTCTGAAATTTTGTTTGACTTTTGGGACAACTAAATCATTAAATTCTTTGTCAATACTCCAGAGCCCACAGTTCCTAGGCAGTTGTACTGGAACTGTGTTACTGGGCTGACTGCCAGGAAGCCAGGTAGGGTTTGTTCTGCTTGGAACTCAGCTACTCTGCAAAAACACTTGAGTTTTGGTGACACAGCAAATTCTGCTGAAAAGTATTTTGCTGGAATTGTCAAACTAAGTGCAAAGTCCATATAAGAGTTTGTTTGCACCTGAATTTGACATCATTGCTGCAGATACCTAATAGATGTATATGTTTTAAGCTCTCAATATCAGAATATTCTTTTATTGTTACTTAAGCTATCATATGTGTGTGTTATTCTACTACTATGGAAGTAATCCTCATTAGATATCAGTGACTTGAGTGTAAAAGAGAAAAAAGGGAAAAAATCCCTGCTAGGCTTTCTCAGCTGTGCTCCGTAGCCTTAGTTCCTCATCCATCCCATGGATCACAGCAGAACATCTCCACACCTGTTCTTCTGGTTTTTTGGGAAGAAAAGCTCTGTCACAGCTTCGACTGTTCTGAAATGTTCATACACCTAGAAAGTC